GACTAATATGAACATGTTTTACATGCTTGCACGTGTAGAACCTATCTCAGATTGCTTACTGTCTCAGGGAGGGGTATAGGGAGGAAGGGAGAGATAGAATTTGGAACTCAAAACTTAAAACAAAAATGAATGTTAAAAATAGTTTTTACATGTAATGGAGGAAAATGAAATATTATTAAAAAGTCAAATAGGGGATTTTATCTTTGATGCTAAAGGTATGAAATATGCTAAGACTTCAGAGTTTATTAAGTGAATGAATTAATGAAGCTTTTATTAAATGCTCATTATGTATAAGGCACCATTCTTGGTATAATGATACAAATAGGAAAATAAAACAATCCCTGTTCTTAAGGAGCACACCTTCTAATTGGGGAGACAACACATGGAAGGTTTCAGCTGCATGTCAGATGGAAAGATCCCATGGTCTTCAAGGTGCAATTGCAAAAATGGTAATGCGTCTTTTTAAATATTATTCCCACTGATAAAATCATTTCATTTTCTGATATCAAACCATTTGACAGTATGAAGGACTTTGGTGACAAGAATGTTCTTTCTTGAAACTTAAGTAGTTGTGGCTACAGCACCTGCAGGAGTAATTGTCAGGCTGAATCTCCGCAAGATTTGCTTCCCAGGATGAATGGTTTTAGGCACTGAGCTGGACGCACTGCTGGTCCAAAAGCAATTGGGTTCAGGATCCTGCGCTGTCTCTATCAGGATCCAAAGGGACACAGTGGTCAAGATGGTGGTTCAGCTTACCTGACACATTCTGTCTCCCATTTCTCCCTCAATTTGCCCTGCGACTTCAGCAGGAGAGATGTCATGAAAGAGTAGAATCAAGGTGATGAGGACCTGAGCTACATTGGCAACTATGGGAGTAGACATATTGTGAGAGATACTGTTCAGATAGAAACGACTCATTGGATATGAGGGTGTGTTGAGATGTCTGTATGGACATTCATTTGGAAATGTTGAATAAGTAGTGTATAATATACAACTGAAGTTAAAGGGCCGTAGGCTCAATATATAGATCTGTGAATCAATAGTAGAGTTCGTGATTAAAACTATGTGAGCTGATGAGGTCACTACAAAAAAATAGAAGAAGGTATAGGACAGAGCTTTGGGAAACATGTACCATTTGGAAATAAGATATGAATAATGGTCCATCAAGAAAAACTGAAAGGTAAAAGGAGAGAGAAGTGAAAGGAAACCCAGAGAAAAGGGTCTATCAACAAAGAGAGTATGGTCCAGTGCTGCAAAGAAGTAAAGAAGGGTGAATATTGAGAAAAGACCATTAGACCTGACGATAAAAATTTTGGAGCCAGAAAACATGGGTTTGTAGTCTGGTTTCAGCAGTTTTGTGACAGTGGGCAGGCACCAGCTGAGAGAGCTATTGTTTATTGGAAAGAGCAACAGATTTTGAGGGAGAGGATCTGGGCTTGAAGTGGACTGTGTCTCTTCCTGAGTGGCTTTGGGCAACCTATTCATTTTGAAATTCAGTTTATCTTATGTAAAATGGAGAAAATAATATGTATTTTGCCTACATCATAAGATTGTTGTGTGAGAATCAAAAAAGAAGTGATATGTAAATATCAGCTGCTTCCAAGGGTGGTGGCACAATAAGGCCAGCCTCTGTTTAGCAGGCATGTTTGGTGTGCTTATTTCTCATAGCAGTGCAGTTGGGGAATTTAGGTGGAATTTCAAGTATTGGAAACTGATTACATTTATATGGTTCTTAAAAACAATGTGCTTTGTCATGAATGGAGGGCAGATCTGCTTTAGTGAGATCAGAAGTGAAGAGGCATAAGAGGTCTCAAACTGAGGACACAGTCTAGGAAACTGAGAAGATTGATTTGGGATGAAATCTGAGGATATTGCTGCCCACCTGAAATTAGGACATCTGAGAGACTGAGCATCAGATGGGAGGGAAAATATCATTCAGGGCTGGGAGAAGGGTACCATCTCTTGAAAGACATCTATGCGAATCCAGGAGAGTGACATTGGCTATTTGATAAAACCATAGATTCCTTTTTCTTCAGCAAAAACAGATCAAATCGGTCCTTTCTTGTTTCCAACTTAAAAAACATCTCTGCACATTGACATAGATGGACTGTGATTAGTATGTAGAACATAAAACAGCAAGATAAGTGGAGGAAAAATAGTTTGGGCACATTTTTGGTATAGGTAAAGAATTATTTTTCTACTACAGAAGTCAGTCGCTTGGAACTTGAGGTCTCTGTAAAATAGTATATACCATTATCACAGAGTTGTCATAAGAAAAGTGCTTTGTAAACCTTAGAGTGTTAAATGAATGTGAATTATTATTCTGTAAGACAACAGAGGACGTGAATTTTGGCTGTAAAGTTGTCATTTAAGAGGATTAGTAGCAGGATTAAAATAGAGTGGTAATTCTGATTGTCAGAAGACTTGCTCTCAGTGCTCAAAAATGAAGGATATGCAGGACTTTGGTTGTTTATATTATCTACCCTGGAGAGTGAAAGAATATAAGTTAATTTATTTGGTATTTGGAGAGTGGAAAAAATGTAAGTTAATTCATTTGGCATTTGGAGGAAATTAGTGTTTGAGACAGGAGGGGTTGGGGAAGGGGAGAATGTTGCTATTTGCTAAACTCCATATTACTTAAATGTATAAGTTTTTTTTTCCTTAAATTTTTTTAGTCATATTGTTTCTAGATAATTTTGTTTTGCCAATTTTGGTCTTGTACCTCCAGTGCCTAGTGCAGAGTATCTGGCCTCTAGTACATGCTAAATAAATGCTTGTCAATTGATTATATTGTGAAAAATGAGTAAAGCAGAGATAAGAGGAAACGTACATTCCTCTTATGTACAGAATTTAATTTCTTTTTTGCCTTATACAGAGTATATTTTAGTTTTGATTTTTGATGCCTTTTGTTTTTATGTCACCTCTTTCTGAATATATCTCCGTTTTCCCCTTCCTACTAATCCACACCTTTTAACAAAGAATAAAGCAAGAAATAAGAAAAACGACAGTGAAGTAAAAAAAAAAAAGAAACAGCATTAGATCTGACAAAAATTCTGTAGGCAATGTTCTACGTTGTTAGTCATTTACTTCTTCAAGGAAAGAAAGGAAGATTATTTTCTTATCGCTTCTTTGGGAACAAGCTTGGTCATTATATTTATAGTGTTTGGTTTCAGGATGTTTCTTGCTCTTTCCATTTACATTGTTATAGTTACTGAGTTTTTAAAAAAAAATCCTTTTTTTCATCATGTCTGAAAAAATTCAGATGCTGGTTTTGAAACCATGGCATTTGAGTCTTAATGACTTTATTCTGTGAGCCTCTTTCTTTGCTGCCTTATTGTAGAAATACAAATAACATTCACAAGATTGTTTCCTCCTTACTTTACAAAAAAAGGTAGAATTATCAAAAATTGAAAATAGGTTGAAGAGAACCTCTAATTTTTTGGAACTATATTGGTATTATCCTTTTATCCATTAAGCTGTTTCACTGTGAGATATTTCCTTAGCTATAAGCTTGGCAAGAGAAATAAAAGAATATTAAATTCAAACCAGTAAGTTTTTCATATTCTTTAACAACTTTAGAAGATGAGCTTTAAAATTACTGGCTAAATAAAATATGAGGATTACCTCTGAATTAGCTATCTTTGCTATTAGTCTACTACAACAAATAATAGGTATTTGACTCCGTTTTTAAAAATGTTTAATACTAGCACCTGGAAATTCTCGACAATGGTGGTTTATAATTGTGGTAAAAATGTTTGTATTACTTCACTAATTTTTAGAAATTGTATGTTACATAATGAAGACTGAACAGGGCATGCTACTGGCATTACCACGTAAAGTAGTTTGGTATAAGCATGGACAGTGTCCTGCTTCTAGACTATGGTCCCTTTTGGTTGAACCTATTTATAAGGGATAATAATTTCATGCCTAATCAGCACAGTATAATGTGGATAGAGGGCCAGCCTTGGAGTCAGGAAGATCAGTCTAGCCTTTGATACAGACTGGCTTAATTTTAATGGCCAAGTCACTTAACCATTCTCTCAGTACCCCAGGCAACTTCCTAACGTTCTAAATTATAGATGAGTGGCTAAGCTTCATTAGTAAAGGTAATTTCTACCCACAGGAATTCTCTATCCAGATAAAATTACACATTTGGATCAAATTCAGATTTTCATGTTGTAAAAGACAACTGCTTTTGGTAATTTCACAGAATGAATCCTTTTATATAAAGAAAACATTCTTGGACAGGATAGTCATTGTGTTGGACTTTTCTACAAAGTGTTATGAATTGTTGATTGTTTAATGCCAATTTTGATTGGAAAAGCAGAACCTGCTATCCCCAGAATATTTGTTCTCTGGTGAAACTGCCACTTTGTTGATCCAGATATTCAGATTTCAGAATCTGTGTACCCCGTGATAGTAGGAATAAAGGACTAATATCATGTTTTTCATGATAACTGTGACAGCAGTTAAGGGATATTTGCTACTTACATGAGAACATAATGAGGTGAGAAAATATTTCTATATATACACAGTAATGTTCTTTCAGTATGGGTTCATTTTGATGCATACACATAATAAAGCTAATGAAAACATGACCAGGTTACTAAACATAGTCAGCTGTTTATAATTTGCATTTATTTTGCTTATGTCTGACTTTGCTGGGGAACGAAAGATCTTAGCAGGTCTGAAAAAAAAAGTTGGTTATTGGTTAATTTAATGACTAATTAGGCATGTAGGCAGCATGGTAAATTCAATGCTGGACTTCAAATCAGGAAGACATGAGTTCAGTCCTTCTGACACTCACTCACTTTCCTCATCTGTAAAATGAGGGGATTGGATTTAATGGTTTATGATGACTCTTCCAGCCCGAAATCTCTGATCCTCTGATTAAGAATTTATGAAGTGATCACATGACATAAAGCTAAACCATTTTGCATAGTTCCTTTTTTGTGTAACAAGGCCTCGATTTCCTCTTGGTCGCTTCTGTGTATTCACAGGTCTTAAACAACAATGGAACAGCCGAATTTTCTGTGACAAGCAATGGAACCATCACTGTTTCTCCAGAATATATTGGCACCCAACTGCTCTTGAAGCTGAAGAAAATGGCAGAGGACTACTTTGGGATGCCAGTGTCCAATGCTGTTATTTCTGTGCCAGCAGAATTTGATCTAAGGCAGAGAAATTGTACTATTCAGGCTGCTAATCTTGCAGGTAGTATGACTTTGTTTGCTTATCAGGTACATTACATACCTTACAGTTATGCCAAGTGTCCCTACTTCTTACTCAGAGGCCATAAAAAAGGTCATTTATACCCAGGTCCTTCGGTTCTTACATATATTTAAATTAGTTTATGGAAAATCCAGGAATTGTTTTCATTTTGAGGATTAATAAAGAAAAATATGCCCCTCTCCTCAAAACAAAAACATAACTGTAAGATATTTAAATAAACAAAAGCAAATAGCATTTCTTTAACACTTTAAGGTTTGCCATGCAGGTTTTCTCATTTATTTTCTGTATGACAGTACTTCAGATACTTGAAGATAGTTATCATGTCATATCTCTACCCCATGCCCACCAGGTTTGCTCTTCTCTAGATTAAATAATTCCATTTCCTTCAAATAATCCTTGAATGCTGTGATATACAGTCTTTATCCTCCTACTTACCTTGTTTACAGTCAATGTCCATCCTAAAATATTTTGCCTAGAACTGAATGCATTACTCCAGATGCTGTCTGACACAGTATTATCATTACCTCCTTTGTTCAAAAGAATATTTCTCTTTATTCTTTTTAGAATCAAATTATCCTTTGGGACATCCCAATGTGTATCCCAGGGTCTAACTGCCTCCCTCCTTTTCAGTTTTTAGCTTCCTTCAAGATATGGGTCAGATGTCTTGTCCAATCCTTATAATTATTAGTATTCTCTTACTCCACATATTATCACACCATTCATTCATTCAGATAGTGAAATCCCTCAGAAAAATGTAATTTTATTAAGAGCAGGGAAAATTTTTGCTTCAGTCTTTCTGTCCTTAGTTTTATATGTAGTAAGTTATCCATAGCACCTTAATAAGTGTTTGTTGAATGGAATATAGCATTATTACTTCATATTAGGCTTGCAGTCTACTAAAAACCCCATATTCATATAGGAAAAAATGCTATATAGCTACCATTCCACCATCATGTACTTGTGTATTTTTTTTTAAATTCAGCCATATGACTTTATATTTATGTCTTTTAAATTTCATCATATTTTATCAAGCCTCACATTCTAGCCTGTAGAGCTCTTCTTTGAATCCCTGGCTCTGTCATATATCATATTAACTATTCCCCACCCGTATTGTATCTCTTGCAGATTTGATGTACATAATAGATTTGCTTTTATCCAAGTGTCCCAATCTATTATAACTGAAATTCCCAAAGTTTCCACAGAAAAGGCAGACCAATGATGATTGAAAAAAAAAAAGTAGACCATTATTACAAGCATATTTAAACTCACAGAAGAAAGCATAAGGCTTAACTTGAGACAATCAGATGCATTGACAGAAGTGTATCAAAGGGAGAGTGTTAAGGGCAATGATTACATGGGGATTAGTCAGTGAAGAGATGATATAACTAGGTCACAATTTCTGGAAAACGTGGTATTTCATCCTCAGCTCAACTATCAGAGATTAGGGGGTAAGATCATACTCAAAAAGAACCCAAAGGATCAATGATCTGAAGAGAAGCATCTTCCAAACTGGGTATCCAGCTTCAGTTCAGCAAACAAAATTTATTAAGCATCTGCTGCATGCAAGGTGCTGGGTACACAAAGACAAAGTCAAAAATGGCCCTGTTCCCCAAGGAGCTTAAACATTTTAATATGAAGATACATGCACAGGGAAGTATATGCAAAGTATATATAGAAAGTGATAAAACACTTTCCACGTAGAAAGTAACAAAACAGGACGAAGAGAGTGTATCAGCTCGGAGATCAGGAAAGGTCTAATGTGGGTGAGTCCTGGGTCGAGTTTTGAAGGAAGCTAGGTAGTCAGAGTTGAGGGGGCAGGGGACAGGGCGACTGCTTTGCCAAAGTATGGTGGTAGGGGATATGATGTTCTGTGTGGGGAACGGCTATCCAACTAGTTGAGTGGAGAAATTGTGTGAAGAATGTTTATTATGAAATAAGACTAAAAGGGTAGATGGGAGCCATATTGTAAAGAGCTTTAAATGGCGGTTAAAGATTTTATATCCTCTAGATTTATAATTCAGCAAGTGTTTTAATATTAGGCAGATGGGAGATACTTAGTTTTCAGTTTTTGTTGATTGCTCTTGTGGCCAACTTTTGGCTGCAGTTCACTGTGGCAGTCTTCCACCTTTTTTCCTGAAGACATGAGACTGGTTTGTTCACCTGCCTGCTTTTGGCCATTGGAAGCTTACTGCCAAAGAGCCAGTGCAAGCAGCAGCAGAGCACACACAGATCCGTATCCTGTTGGAGGAACCCTCCGCCCCATCCCCACCCAATGGAAGAGATAGGGAGAAGTTAAACAGGGTTAGAGGAGAGTGGTGTATATTGATTGACATCTGAATCTTTGGAGGGCATACTCACATGATCTCATGTAAGTATCATTATCAAGCCCTTTACCTTGTTGTTGTTCAGTTGTTTCAGTCCTGTCTGACTCTTTGTGACCCTATTTGGGGTTTTCTTGGCAAAGATACTGGAATGGTTTTCCATTTCCTACTCTTTTATAGATGAGGAAACTGAAGCAAACAGGATTAAATGACTTGTTCGTGGTCATACAACTGATAAATATGTGAGGATGGATTTAAGCTCAGATCTTCCTGATGCCAGGCCCAGTGCTCTATCCACTGCTCCACCTAGCTGCCCTTAACATTAGGTGGCCCTAAATTACAGATAGGCCCAAGGATGATAGAAGAACAGTGGAAAATTCTAGTATCTCACTGATATCCAGGAAATCTTTGAATGACAAGGTATTCGATATTCTTAGTGTGTTTGTTTTCATGTCACTTTAAAGGATGACTTTCAGATATATTACCTATAACATATTAGTCACTTTTAAATTTTAACTCCATTTGACTTATTGGCATTTCCTAACATTTTCATTAACAAAATATTATTTTATTTTTAAAAGTTTATTTCTGTATACTTGAACCTATAATTCTTTCCTAAACTTTCCTCTTCCTTTTAGCCTTGTCTTTTTTGCATGTTGTCTCTGTCTCTGTCTCGCTTTCTCTCAACCCACTCTTCCCCACTCCCACCCCCCCCATCTGCCTCCATCCCCCTACTACCGTGGTATCAAACTCAGATAGAAGTGAATTCCTGCAGGCTGCGTATTGACTTAGAAAAACACATATGAATGTTATCTGTGTTAGCAGATAACTATATTTGTTTTGTTAAACTTTTCCCAATTACGTTTTAATCTAGTTTGGGCCACACTAGGGAGTTTGGGTGCCTGAATTAGACATCTTGTCCCTAGTACATCAAGCTCAAGAATGTTGAAAACTGAATAATTCACTTTCCCCTAGAATCTCCTTCCTATCCTTAATGTCCATCACTGCTATTTCCATACCTGTGATCTTTGTGTCATCTTTTACTCCAGAAATCGAGTTGCCAAGTGAGCTACCTTGGGCAGTAGTAGATTCTCTTTGACTAGAGTTCCTAAAGTAGAGGCTGGCCATTTTGGAAGGGATTCCTATTCAGGTACACATTGCATGAGTTCTGAGATGCTTTCTAACTCTGAGATTCTCTCCTTCAAGTTCTGTCTCTTCTGCCTGTGTGGTATCCCTAGTATCATTCTCCTCCTTAGCCTTCCCACTGCCACAACACTAGTTAGACTTTCATTAACCTCTTCTTCTGGAGGTTGAAGGTGCTTCTCAATAAGTCTCCCTGCATTTGGCTTGCCCCTGCCTAATCTATGCTGCATACCTCACTTCTGTCATATTGTTCTTCTACCATGTATGAAAGACATCATTCCAATTCTCAAAAACTTTCAGTAACTCTCCAACTCCAGCTAGGTAGTGCAGGGGACAGACTGCTGGGCCTAGAGTCAGGAAGATTTGAGTTCAGATCCTTCCTCAGACGATTATTAGCTGTGTGACTCTGGGCAAGTTACTTAATTTCTGCCTGCCTCAGTTTCCTCAACTATAAAATGGGGATAATAATAGCACCTACCTCGCAGGATTGTTGTGATTAATTAATAAATAAACATTTGTTAATGTGCCAGGCACTGTGCTAAAAGCTGGGGATACAAAAAGAGACAAAACACAGTCCCTGCCTTCAAGAAGCTTACAATCCAATGGGGGAGACAACATGCAAACAAATAAATACAAAGCAAGTTATATATGGGATAAATAGGAAATCATTAACAGAGGGAGGGCACTGGAATTAAGAGGGGCTGGGGAAGGCATCCTGTAGAAGATGAGATCTTATTTGGGACTTAAAGGAAGTCAAAAAAGTCTGTAGTCAGAGTAAAGGAAGGAGAGCATACTAAGCATGAGGGACAGCCAGTGAGAATGCCAAGAGCCTAGAGATGGAGTGTCTTATTCATGATATAGCCAGGAGGCCAGTGTCACTGGATTAAAGAGTAGAGATCAAAGAGTGTCAGGAAGTAAAATGTAAGAAAACCAGAAGGGTAGGAGGTGGCCAGGTTATAAAAGGCTTTGAGTTCCAAATAGGCCATTTTGTATTTGCTCCAAGAGGCAATAGAAAACCACTGGAATTTCTTGAGTTGGAGGAGGAGGGGTGATATGATTGGACCTGTGTTTAGGAAAATCACCTTAGTGGTGGAATGAAGAATGAATTGGAGTGGGGAGAAACTTGAGGCAGGCAAACCTACTGCAGGCTCTTACAATAATCCAGGTGTGAGGTGATGAGGACCTTCATTAAAATGAAGTGAAGGTAGTGTCAAAGCAGAGAAGGGGATATATTCAAGAGATGTTGCAGAGGTGAAGTCAGCAGGCCTTGGTAACAGGTTGGATGTGGGGGTTGAGAGGTGGTAAGAAATTCAGGATGACTTGCAGATTGCATGCCTGTGGGACTGTGGGAATGGTATTTCTCTCTATAGTAATTGGGAAGGTGGGAGCTTGGGGGTTGGGGTTTGGAGGAAAGAATGAGTTGTGTTTTGGACATAACGGAGTTTAAGATGTCTGCTAGACATCTAGTTGGAGATGTCTGAAAGGCAATTGGAGATGTGAGATTGGAGGTCAGCAGAGAGATTGGAACAGGATAGGTTGATTTGAGAATGATCAGCATAGAAATGGCAGTTAAATCCCTGAGAGTTGATGAGATCACTGAGTGAATTGGTCATAGAAGGAGAAGGGAAGAGGGCCCAGGACAAAACCCCTAAGGACACCTACAGTTAGAGGGCATGATCTGGAGGAGGATCCAGCAGAGGAGACGAAGAGTGGTTAAATAGGTAGGAGGAGAACCAGGAGAAGGTGGTGTTCTGAAAACCTAGAGAAAAGAGAGTGTCAAGGAGGAGAATGTAATCAGTGCTGTCAAAGGTTACAGAGAGGTCAAGGAGAATGAGAACTGACAAAAGACCATTGGACGTGGCAACTACAAGATCATTAGTAACTTTGGAGAGAGCAATTTTGGTGGAATGATAAGGCCAGAATCCAGAGGGATTAAGAAGAGAGTGAGAGGAGAGAAAGTGGAGAAACCTATTGTAGATGGCCTTTTTGAAGAGTTTAGCCAAAGTGCAGGAGAGATATAGGACAATAGTTAGCAGAGATAGAAGGATCAAGTGAAGAGGGTTTTTTAGGATGGGGAGACATGGGCATGTTTGTTGGTAGTAGGAAATGAGCCTAAGCAGGAAAAGATTGAAAATAAGTGAAAGAGTGGGAACAACAGAGGGAGCAACCTGTTGGAGGAGATGGGATGGAATGGGATCACTTGAACAAGTAGAGGGCTTAACTAGGGAAGGAGTAAGGCCGTTTCATCATGTAAGACAGGAGTAAAGGAGGAGAAAGTGGCAGAAGCATCTGAGTGATGGGAGAAGAAGAAAATCACAGTGAATGGCCTCAGTTTTGTTTCTGTAAAATGTAAGACAAGATTCCCAGCTGAGATGGGGAAAGGGGGAACCATAGTAGGTTTGAAGAGGGAGGAAAAGGTTTGAAGGAGTCCCTGTGGAGAGTAGGATAGTGAGTTGATAAGGGAGCTGTAGTAGGATTGCCTGGCAGCAGTGAGGACTCAGTTGAGGTTACATAATATTAATTTGTAGTGGACCCAGTCAGAATAGTTGCTGGATTTTCTCCACCTTCATTTAGTGGCTCCTATGTAGGAATGAAGATGATGAATGGTGGGAGTGATTCAAGGCTTGGTTGGGTATAATTAGTAATGTTAAGTGAGCCAGTCATTCAAGGGAGGAGGACAGTATAGAGTTGAATTGGTGCACCGTGAAGTCAAGATGGGGGGAAGAGGAAAGAGTGTCTAGTGCAGGCTAGATGGCCTGAGAGAGAACTGAGTGGTCAAGGGATTGGAGGTCACCGTTTGGATAAAGAGTAGGGTTATATAAGGGAAGACAGAGCGAGAGGTGAAAAGCCAATAGATTATGGTCAGATAATGGGATTGTGGGTGACAGCAAGATGGAGTGTTTGACTATCTTTGCATGTATCTGAGCCACAGGCTGGAAGAGTATTTCACAGGAGGTGAAGCAGTTTAAGGAACTGAGTGGTAAATTAGGTATCAAACTCATTGAGAAAAGAAGATTCACCTGGAGACTTGCCAGAATTTTGATTGGGTGGTAGATATGAATAGCATGAACCTCAAAGGAAGAGAGGTTACTGAGCTCAGGAAGAAGGGGGGGAACCTCAGTATTCTAGCTCCTCCACTTTGACCAGTGAGCTGAGGAAAATGAGTGAAGATGTCCTGGAGAAAGTGGACAGGGAAGGCTGTGTCATCTGGTGGGGAGGCAGAAAACAGCACAGTACCTGCCACACAGTAGGTATTTAATAGTTGCTTGTTCCCTTGACTTCCTTTCCCATGTTGCAAAGAGGGCCTCTACATCTGACTTCTGTATTTTCCAACCAAATAAATTACTGACTGCTCCACCCCCACCCCTCCCAAACAGTTCCCATACTGTCCCACTTCTTTGCTTATTCAAATGTAAGCTTCCTAAGAGTAGGTATTACTTCATTCTTTCTATTCCCAGCACCTGGTAAATAGTAGGTACTTAATAAGTAGCTGTTGATCGATTTATTGCCAATCTTGTTCCCTCCTCTGTAATAGCTTCCTTTCCTTGTTTATTTCATGACAATCCTTTCCATTTCTACTCCACTGCTGCTCTTCCTTGATTCTCTGTAAATGATTGCTTTCTCCTTATTGTTTTTCTTTTTCGTCTTCTAGGCCTAAAAATCTTAAGAGTAATTAATGAACCCACAGCAGCAGCTATGGCTTATGGACTTCACAAGGTGGATGTTTTTAATGTCTTGGTGGTAGATTTGGGTGGAGGAACACTAGATGTTTCCTTACTCAACAAACAAGGAGGAATGTTTTTAACCAGAGCCATGGCAGGTAAGGAGATTTTATGGAAGTTTAAGTCACAATGCTGTCTAGTGAACAGACCAGTTGTTCATTTGTTTTACATTCTTTGTCTTTATTTTGGTGATATTCATAATTTATCCCATTGTGTATAGGCTTATAATTAAAGTATATCAATAAAAGTTCTGAGTTGCTTTTTGAAACCTTGTCTACTCTTGACATAATCCAAAGTATATTATAAATATATGGGGTATGTAGTCTGTTGTAGCTCATTAATATCATTAAATATTTTTTGTACATAAAGAAATATATGAAAGGGGGTAAATTCCTTAAAATTAATAGAATTGATTTCTTAATTTTAATAAACTGACTTTGAACATTTTATACTGTCCTCTTGAATCTTTTGTCCTTTTCCAAAGTTACAATGATCTTTTAATTGGCAGATTAAAAGGTTTTTGTCTTTCTTGACTCCTGCAGCACTCTCTCCATGACATTACCCTCTCCTGGTTCTTCCCTCTCTCTGCACCTTCTCAGTTCCCACTAGCTGTACTTGTCCCAGGCTCTGTCCTGGTCCTTCTTCTCTTTTTGTTCAATGCTGTATCACTTGGCAATCTCATCATCTCCCATGGGGAGGGGGATTCAGTTGTCATCTCTATGTAAATGATTCTCAGAACTATGTATTTAGCCCAGCCTCTCTCCTGAGCTGTGGTCATGCATTCCTAGCTGCCTTTTGGAAATCTCTAACTTGATGTCCTATAGGTATCTCAAACTCCACCTGTCCAAAACAGAACTCTTTATCTTTTCCCTGTCTCCTAAACCCTCCCATTTTATGAACTTCTCTATTCCTGTCAAAGGCACCATTCATCCTCGTCACTCCAGCACATAATCTTGGTATCATCCTCCGGTGCTCACTTTCATCCCTAATCTCCTGTTATATTCAATAATGTTATTTTCTTGGAGGCTTTGGATGTAGGAGCTTTGACTTTGTTGTCTTCTTCTGGTTGTATGCTTTGATCTTCTTTGTTACCAAAAAAAGATTCTGTGATCTGACACTTCTTGTGAGGTTTTCTCATGATCCCAGCCAATTACTTGAGTTATAAACTCTTTGTTAAGGTAGAGGTCTGCTTCCAGTGTGGAGAATGTACTGTCCTAGGCTTCAGGGGTTTGTGCAGCTGTTTTCAGAGATACTTCTAGGGACCTAAATTTTCAGTTCTTCCAAGGTGGTATGATAAGGGGTGAGGTGTTCACTCCCTTCCTGGCCTGTGCTCTGGTCTGTGAGTGACTACAAGCACTCTTTTCTGTCTTGGAACTGTGAGGAGGAGTTCCTCTTAACAGCCACTACAAGCTCTACAACTCCAGTGCTCCTCCTCGCCCCAGGACCGCCACCCAGAACTGTGACCCAGATCCAGGCATGGGCAAAGCAAGAGATTCCTGCCTCAGCACTGGCAAAGAGTACCTGCAATCCCCCTCTGATCAGCCACCGGATTCCCCCTCCATCTGTGGGCCAGAAGCTCAGGAGGTGGCCACTGCCCCGCAGCCATGCTTGGGAACTGGAGCTGAAACTAGCTTCTCTCTCACCACAGAAACAGATTTTTTCCACTGACCTTCTAAGTTGTTTTTGACGTTCCTGGGTTGAGAAGTCTGGAAACCACCACAGCTGCCTGAAATTCAGTCCTCTGAGGCCTGCTTCAGGTTCACTGTTGCCTACATGCCCACGCTGAACTGTACTCCTCTACCAGCTCAGCCCGATATACTTTTCCAATCAACCATCCAGGTTGTCTTGGGCTGGAAATTTGTTTCACTCTGTCTTTTTGTGGGTTCTGCTGCTATAGAATTTGTTTAGAGACATTTTTTATAGGTATTTGGAGGGATTTGGGGTAGAGCTCAAGCAAGTCTCTGCTTTCACTCCGCCATCTTGGCTCCACCCTCCCTTTGTTTCTAATCTTGTTATTTTCAAAACATCTCTCCTATATGTCTCCTCCTCTTTACTCACATAGCCACAATCCTAGTTCAAGCCCTTGTCACCTCTCACCAGACTGTTTTGATAGCCATGTATCCCAATTGTCTGTCTCAAGTACCTCATTCTGGTCCATCCTCCACTCAGCCCCCAAGGTGAGTTTTCTAAAGCATAGGTATGACCATGTCACCCTCCATTCCTGCTCAGTGAGTTCTGGTGGCACTCTGTTATCTCCCAGATCAAATATAAAGTGATCTTTTTGACATTTAAAGCCCATCATAACTTGGCCCCCTCTACCTTTCCAGTCTTCTTATACTTTATTCTCCTTTATACAGTTTGTGATCCATCAAAAAAAATTTTTTTCTTTCAAAGTAGATGGGAAAAACCTGTTTGTTAAAACAAAACAAAACTGTATTGGTGCCAAAAAATAATCTGAATTCTCATATTCTTTTTTTTAAACTTAGGAAACAATAAACTTGGAGGTCAGGACTTCAATCAGAGATTGCTTCAGTACTTATACAAGGAGATCTATCAAACTTATGGGTCCTTGCCTTCCAGAAAAGAGGAGATTCATCGATTAAGACAGGCTGTAGAAATGGTCAAGTTAAATCTGACTCTTCATCATTCTGCCAAGATTTCAGTGTCACTTACTGTAGGGGAAACAAAAGACTTAGAGAATACTGCACAAAACAAGGAACATGAGAGTAAACCTTCAGAGGACAAACTGTTCCTAGAAAATGCCCATCATAAGAATATTATGTTCAGAGTTAACTCTCCTGAAACAGATGGAAAACTAAGGCAGGTTCTTTTTGAAACAGAAATCTCAAGGAAACTATTTGATACACTGAATGAGGATCTCTTTCAGAAAATTCTTATACCAATTCAGCAGGTGCTGAAAGAAGGGAATCTACAGAAGACTGAGATTGATGAAGTGGTTTTGGTAGGGGGTTCTACACGTATTCCCCGAATACGCCAGCTGATTCAAGAGTTCTTTGGAAAGAGTCCCAACACATCTGTAGACCCCGACCTAGCTGTTGTAATGGGAGTGGCTATTCAAGCAGGTATTGATGGTGGATCTTGGCCTCTTCAAGTCAGTGCTATAGAAATTCCCAATAGACATTTAAGAAAGACCAACTTCAATTGAATTAATCCTTCTCACCTAGTGACCATTTTCTCTTTATTATACCTCTTTAATACAACAAAGGGTAAAAGTAAGGCTAGGATACTTTAATGAAGGTACTTCTCAAACTTACCTGGAAATGGCAACATCTAGATGTTGGCAAATTTGATGTAGCACTTAATTTATTAAGATTAGCTACATCCCCAGGCTCCTTCCTGTCCTCTATACTCATTCTTACTTGCTTTTGAATGGATCATTTTCCAAAGGAAAGAACTGCTCAAAAGTGATGTAATTTAAATGGATTCTCATATTTGGGTCATCTAAAATATAGGCTGTATAGGATAGAAAGGATCATATGCATTATTTATAATTGTGCTTTGTAAAAATAGAGTAGTGCCATTTGTAAGATGCTGAGTTTTCTACTAAATTTTATTAGTGGAAGTTGTCAGATTGTTTACTTAGTAAACTGAGTAAACTACTGTCACAAGTACTTTGAAATATCTGTCCTGGAAGTGTTGCTATAACACCTGGCTCCAGCCCCAGGTATTTATAGTGAATAGCAGATAAAACATAGCAGTATTAATACAGACAGCATCTACAATGCTCATCATCATCTTTACCCAAACAGTTCTTGTTAAATTGATGAAAAATTGACCTTCAAAAGTCAGAGTGTCTTATAAATGCTTATTGATATGTTTTGTTTTAAAGAACTGATGGAAAAAATGCCAAAGATGAATTAAATTATGGGAGAAATTGTCCTTTCTTGTACTTTTGAAACTGTAAACTTTTAGGTCTTAAAACTTCAAATACTCAAAAAGTTTCCTAATGTTCAAATCTCCATACTGTTTAGATTTTTAATCCAAAAGTAAATAACTCAAAATTATATAAAATATTTGGATTAGTTTTAATAAAACATTTTATAATTTTGGACATACAAAAAACTGATTTTTCCCATAATTTGAAAATGTCTTAGAAAAAGAAAATAGCAACCTGGGTCCTTTAGGCAATGACTTTGCATTCTTCATTACATTTGAACCTTTAATAAAATTAAATGAAGTCTATATTCACACACACACACACACAACACACACACACACACACATGTGTACAGCCTTATTAATGAGTAAGGAATGTAATTTTTTATTTTTTATTAAACTCTCAAAAAGTGTTTAATTAGATCTACAATGGAAATATGAACAGTAGAAATAATATTCTTCGCATTCCTCAAATTAATATCCATTCTTCCATTTTCTACCTCTCAACCTAATGTAGACTAGGAAAGGAAATTGTGCCCTGCAGGTTCCCTCAAACAAATTGGGGAAACAAGACAGAGTTTTGTAGGCACTGAGCACTGGCTATTCATAGCTCTCTCAGTTGTTGAATGTGGTTTAAATGAGGAAAAACAGGACACACATCTTGTATGGGATAATTTATATGTAAATGTTTTCCTCCTTTTAAGAACATAATACATTTTGGATGTGTATATATAGCTCATGGTTTCTAGTATACTATATTTTTTTTAGCAAGGTCCTTACATAGTTACAGAAAGGGAATGAATAATTTATTTTTTATCAGAGGGAAGTCTAGGTACTGTATTTTGGCTCAGACCACTGAATGAGCAACAGATTTTGAGTTTAACAAATTGCACATAACAGATATGCAGATTTGTTTACGTGTACAAATGATTGATATGTCTCAGTGAAGTAAATCTTTCAGTTTCTTTTTAAAATTGTGCACTTTATTCTCCATTTTGTACCGGTTAGCTAGACTGCTATTTGGAAATCTGGTACAGATTTTGTGCAACGCATAGAAAATGGGAATAGTAGCTTTTGGGAATGAAGTTGAAGCAACACATGTAGCCATTGGTAAAGGCAGGAAGTGTCAGTTCCCAATATATAGAATTCTGATAAGCCTTAGTGCTTATCCTCAAGCCTTTCTTCACATTCTCAAACTGACAGCATTGAGATTATGACAGTCTGGATAAAAAGCAAATGACCTCAAAATATAAAAATGTTGCCAATAACCAAACTAAGCAATTCCTATTGATATGATATAATCCAAAAATAATGTAGTACTAAAAAGTAGAGCAAGAGTGAAAACTTTAATTTTTAAATAAAGTACTGTATTAATATTTGGAACAATTCAGTTAAATTGTCATTCTTAATAAATTTTATTAATGTACCCTTTTAAAAATGAGCACTTTGCAATAAAAATTACAAATTATTTTCTATAATACAATTTGTTTCTGAGTGTCTCTGTTTTCTTCTTAGTTGATTTACTAACCTTGCAAATTAGGAATACTTATGGCTTTAGGATACTACAATCTAAGTAAGAGTTTGTAACTTTGAGTTCCCTATCATTTAACCTTATTTAGCATAACGATGCCTTGTGTTCTCTCTTGTGATACCCATCTTTATGATGAGGTCCTTTCTAAACATCTTGGAAAGGGCTACCTAGCAGTTATTGGCTTTTAAATAAAATTTCTATTTGTATCTTTTGGGTTGTTTTTTCTTTATATCACTGGATCTCTGGAACATCTCTCCCTCTGCCACCTTCCAGAGAACCATCCTATATAAGCAAATATTTTATTAAAAAATAGGTAAAAATAGGAAGATAAGAGAAAGCAAAACAGATCAATATTTTGAAAAAGTGAAAATATATTTTTGAAAAAGTGAAAATATATTCAATGTATCATACCCTTAGACCTCCCACCTCTGTAGAGGAGTCAGGTGGAGGTTTCTTCTCATAGCTCTTCTTTGAATCCCGGGTTGTTCTCTATAATTTTACAGCATTCACTTTTGACTATTTTCTAACTGTTCCTTCTATTCACATTGTTGTAGCTATTTTCTTACTTCCTTAGTTGTTTCCTTGGTTCTGTTTTCTTTACTCTGCTTCAGGTCATGTAAATCCACACTTCTCCGTATTAATCTTATTTATCATTTTTTCTAGCGTATTGGTATTCCATGATGGTCATGTACCAAAGTTTGTTTAGACATTCCTCAGTCAATTGGGCATCTACTTTGCTTCCAATTCTTTGCTACCACAAAAAGTGCTGCTATAAATATTTTGGTATGTGGAGGGACTTTCTTCTTATCAATGATCTCTTGGGGTTATAAACACAAATATTTAACAACTGATTCTTTGGGGAAAAAATATACTCACAATATACTTTTAAGTTCAGTCTTCATTATTAATATCATTTTCTTAATTCCCGACATTCAACAAAACAGTAAATCAAGCTCTGATTGGTCATGTTTGCTGATTTCTGAGGTGTGAATACTCACCTTGAAAATTTAAGTCATTCCTCATGAGCCAGTTCAAGCTGGCTTCTGCATATCCCTGGTTATAAGCCTTGTAATGAAATATTTGGGTCAAATGGGTACATTGGGTACATTTTAGTTACTTTGTGTAATTCCAAGTTGCTTTACAAATGGTTTTTGCTGATTCACAATTGTACCAACAATGCACTAGTGTGGCTGTCTTTTCTCAACCTCTCCAAAAATGACTATTCCCATCTTTGATCATCTTTGCTAATTTGCTATATTTTAGGTGAGATTTCAGAATTATTTTGATTTGCATTTCTCTTATTATTATTGCTTTGAAGCATTTTTTCCTATGGTTGTTAAGGATTTGCAATTCTTTTGAGAACTGTTGGTTGGTATCCTTTGATCACTTCTATATTATGGAATAATTTTTGGATATATGTGTGTGTATGTTTCATATACATCTTGTATGTATGTTTTATCTTGAATAACACACTGTTATCTGAGAAATAGGAAACCAGGATTTATATTTCCCATTTGCCCTACTTCCTTTCTTATCCTGAGGAATTAAATTTCTGCAGAGCTTTTCAGGTTCATGTAATCAAAGGGATCCATTTTATCTTTTGTAATTGCCTCTGTCACTTGTTTGGTTAAGAAAATCTTTTCTAACCATACTTGGGAAATTATATTATCTCCCAATTATTTTATGGCATGGTTCCTAGTATTAAGGTCACATCCATTTATAATTTATGATAGAATATGGTGTAAGGTGTTCATCTAAACTTATTTTCTGTCAGACTTTTCCAGTTTTCCCTGCAATTTTTATCAGAGGAAATTCTTTTTTAAGTGATTTATGTCTTTGGGTTTATTAAACACTGGGTTATCGATTCCTATTGTTTCTGATTCTCCCTTGCCTAATCTCTTCCACTGAGCACATGGTTTTGATGACTACTGCTTTTTAATAAATTTCAAGGTCTGGGAGTGCTATTCCCCCTTTATTCCTACCTTCTTGCCTACTTTCCCTTGACATATTTAGTATCTTTATCTCTCCAGGTGAAATATGTCATTATTTTATGGATTTCTACGAAGTATCCCTTTGGTAGTTTGATTGTTAGATCATTAAAATTGTAAATTCACTTTGGTATTATTGTCTTTTATGTATATGTGTGTGTGTGTGTGTGTGTGTGTGTATTTATATATTGTCATGGCCCAGCTCTGGGCACTGAGTATCCCTCCAACTATTTAGGGTTTTTAAAAAATCTCTTTAAGGAGCACATAGTAATTGAATGTAAGTATTTTTGTGAACCTTAGTAGATTGATCTTGAAGTATCATATGCATTTTGTAGTTATTCAGAATGTTGTTTCTATTTTATTATTACCTTTTGAAATTTATTATTATTGAATATATAGAGAAATGCCAGTGTTCTTTGTGGTTTATTTTGTGGCCTGCGACTTTGCTGAAGTTATTATATCAATATGTTTGCTGATTCTTTAGGATTTTCTAAATGAACCCTCATGCTGTCAATCAATCAGTCAATAAACATTTATTAAGTACCACACATACAAAAAGAAGCAGAAAGAAAGATAGTCCCTACCTTCATGGAGCTTACATTCTGAAGAAGGAAGACATTACATAAAAGGAAGGTGAAAAGAAGTTGAGGGGTTTGAAGGTAGCTGATAGGGAGCCATGATGGAGAAGTACTGGAATATAGCATCAAGAGGACTAATGACATGTCTGGCCTGGGAACTCTCCTTAAAAAAAGGTTCAAACCATCTGGTCAGAGAGATGGAGGGTCTTTCCAGTGTGAATTCTAGTACTGCAGTGAGTGGGGCATTGTAGAGAAAGTTTGAAATGCAACCTGGAGGAGAGTGAGACATGGTGACCTGGGCACCCTCCTTAAATGGAGGTTCTGTTAAAAGCCATTCAATCAGAGGAAGAAGTTGCAGAGGCAAAGGGAATTTCCAGTATGTGAATACTAGGACTAAAGTGAGCTTCCAGAAAGGAGAGGATTTAGGGTCATGGTAGAGAAAGTCCAGGGTTCAACGTGGATATGAATGAAGCAAAATAGGGATAGCTTTATCTTTCTCTTTTCTTATTACTACTGCTAGTACTTCTAGAAGTATATATCAAATAATAGAGAAGGAGTGAGCATGCTTGCTTGTATTTATTGGGAGAGCTTCTAATATGGCCCTGTTGCATATGATGCTTTGGGGTCTAGGTGGATATAATTTTATAATATTTTTAAAGGACTCTCTGATTATAATTTCTAGAGTTTTACTACAAGTGAATGTTGTACTTTGTCAAAGGTTTTTCTGTATCTATTGCTATAAACATGGTTTTGAATGTTTTTGTCTTTGATATAATTAATTTGCTGATTATTTTCCTAATATCAAACCACCCTTGCATCTCTAGTATAAATCTAACTTGGTCATAATGAATGATTTCTTGATGAATTGCTGTAGCCTGTATAACAGGATATTTTTTTTAGAGTACGAATTGATAATCATTGAAGATAGTGGTTCTTGGCTTTATCTTTTCATGGTTTAGATACTAGAGCTATATTTATCTCAGCAATGGAATATATTAGGGTGCTTTCTCAATTTAAAAAAATTTTTTTGGGGGGCGAGGCAGTTGGGGTTAAATGACTTGCCCGGGGTCTCACACTAGTAAGTGTAAATTTTCTCAATTTTTGAGAATAGGTTTTTTTTTGTTTGGTTGTTTTTTTTTTTTTTTGTAGAAGTGGTACTAAAAATTTCATGAAATTCTCTTCTGGATTAATCCTTCAAGACCAGGAACATCCTCTCTACCCCCTTTGCTAGTTAGTTTACAGCTAGTTCTATATTTTTTCTGAGGTTGAATTAAGATTTCTATATAGTCTTTTGTCAGTTTGAGTATTTCATATTTTTGAAGATGCCTTTATGTCTTTTCTATTCTCAGTTTCTTTTCCATATAGCTGCAAAGGATATTCTAATAATTCTTTGTATTTTTTTCTGATTTTTATTGTAATTTTACTTTGTTCATTTGCTAGTCTCTTTGATTTTCTGCTCTTTTTAATCAGATTTGCTACAAGTTTTAATCGTTAGCTAAACATATTATTTGTTTTCAGGAAACCAGATTTCAAGCTTTTTTATCATTTCTGTGTTCTTTTTGATTTTCAGTTTATCTACTCTAATTTTCAATATTTACTCTTGTGTTTATTTTGGGTTTACTTGTTGGCTTTCTAATTTTTTGAAGTGGATATTCAGCTCATTACTCCTTTCCTTTTCCACTTTGTTAATGTCGACTTCTAGGGACATTTTTTTCCCCCACCTGAAGACTGCTTTAACTGCATCTTAGAATTTTTGCATATTGTTTCATGATCTCTTTCTTTCACAATCATTGTTCTATGATTTGTTTTTTGACCCACTCATCGTTTAGGATTTCATTAAGTCTGTATTTGAGTCTGTTTTTTTGTTTGTGCTCCCTTAACTATTTTTATTACATTATGATCTGTAAAGGATATATTTACTATTTCCATTTTTTACCTATATTCTTGAGATATTTAAAATATTTTACCTGTATTTTCCTTTTTTAATAAATTTTTATTTGTTTTAAAATATTTCCCAGTTACTTGTAAAAAAACATTTTAAACATACATTTGTTAAAATTTTGAGTTCAAAATTCTATCCTTGAGAAGGCAAGCAGTTTGATATTGCTTATTTATGTTAATGGCAGCTAGCTAAATGATGCAATGGATAGAGTATGTCTTCTTGATCTCAAATCTGGCCTCAGATACTTACTAGTTATGTAACCCTGAGCAAGTCACTTAACCCTGTTTTCTCAGTTCCTCATCTATAAAATGAGCTGCATTAGGAAATGACAAACCACTCCAATATCTTTGCCAAGAAAACTCCAAATGGAGTCACGAAGAGTTGGGTACAACTGAAAAATGACTGAACAACAACTGAATACATTGTAAAGTCATTCAATGAATATTTCCATATTAGCCATGCTGTAAAAGAAAACACAGATCAAAAACAAAAAAAAAGAAAAAGGAAGTTAAAAAAAGTATGTTGCAATTTGCCCTCAGAGTTTCAACTCTCTCTCTGGGGGGGGATAGCATTTTTTTTTTAATTGTGAGTCCTTTGGAACTGTCTTGGATCATTGTCTTGATCAAAGTAGCTAGGTCTTTCACAGCTGATCATCCTAACAATATTGCTGTTGCTGTGTACGGTGTTCTGGTTCTGCTCACTTCATTTTGCATTAGTTCATATAAGTCTTCCCAGATTTTTCTGAAAGCATCCTACTTATCATTTCTTATAGCACAGTAGTATTCTATCATAACCATATACCACAATTTGTTCAGCCATTTGTC